CTCACGCGCACCAGCGGCCTCGCACCTGCGACCCTTTCTTCTGCAGGTGCGAAAATAACAGTAGCAGCAGTTTCAGCTGTATTTTCCAACTTCGACAAATCCGTTAACTACCCCGAATCACTCCGAGGCCCTCGGGACCTCAACCAAAAATATCAACAAGTCATATATCAATATACCAACTTAGTCGAACCTTTGAATCACTCAAAACAATATCAAATCATCAAATTACCCTCAGATTCAAGCCTAAGAACTTCTAAATTTCCAAATTCGGCAACCGATGCCGAAACCAACCAAACCACGTCTGAATGACCTCAAAGTTTTCACACACATCACAAATGAGACTACAAACCTACTCCAACTTCCGAAATTTTATTCCGATCCCGATATCAAATTTTCCACTGCCGACCGAAATTGTCAAATTTTCAATTTCGCCAATTCAAGCCTAATTCTACCACGGACCTCCAAATCATATTCCAGACACACTTCCAAGTCCAAAATCACCTAACGGAACTAACAGAACCATCAGAATTTAAATCCGAGATCGTTTGTGTATAGGTCAACATCCGATTGACTTTTTCAACTTAAGTTTCTACTTAAGAAACTAAGTGTCTCAATTCACTCTGAAACCACCCCGGTCCCGAACCAACTAACCCGATATAATATAATATAGGTGAATAACACAAAAAGAAATAGAAATAGGGAAAACGGGACTATAACTCTCGAAACGACCGGTCGGGTCGTTACAAAAAGAATCTAGGGAGAAAACCTTAGTGTGGTGTAAATCTTAAATATTAGACATAGGCTTACGAAAGATACCAAAAATAGGAGAATCGAAGTGATAAATTTATACTTTATTTCAGAGTTCCAAGTTTTGTAGTTTAATTCGAAAAGGAATTCCATCACTGGGTATTTACAATTAGTTTCTTAAATTATATAAATATTTAAGGGCATAAAAGTCGATCANTATATATAAAGTTGACCGTATATACATAGTATAATTTCTGGGTGAAGGGGGTTCGGTTGAACCCCTTTCGCTACCCAGCTCCGCCCCTGCTCTGGATGCCTTTGAATATGGTTTATGAATTACTTCAAGAACAGAATTTCTCATTTGCTTACTGAAGTATATTTATTTACGTAATAAATTGTTGTATTGAACTACCAGTTTTGGCTTTGAGTAAAGTATAAATGTGTTGTTCTTTTTTACGCTAGTGATCAATTTATGTCATTTTGCACATCTAAAATATAAGAGGGCTGAAATATATGGTACAATGACTTAAGCTATTAATTCTATAAATTACTTTGCTACTTCGAATTTTGGAAAACGCAGGGTGGAGGAAGACGAGCACTTCTCTTGTTGTATACTTGTATTTTGTTTTTAAAATGGATTGGATGGGCTTGCCGCTTGCAGAAGCATAGGCAGATTTAACATTTAAATTTAAATATCCGTAGGAAAAGGATTGTTTCTATTGCCTCAACCATGTACAATTTATATAGTAAATTTAGAAGGGTTCAATCTAAATAGATAAGTACAACAGAGATATTCACAAAAGTTTGAGTGTGACTATAACTAAGAATCTAGCTGGTGTAGCTTGAGGTAAATGGATTACGTTGATTAGAAAGATCTGTTAGGATTTGGATTATCCTTATCATGCCCCCTCAAGATGGGCTCAATCTCCTTGAGGCCAATCTTGTGAATGAAATGTCCAAATGATCGTTTAGGCAGTGCCTTTGTCAAAGCATCAGCAAGTTGACTCCCAGTAGGTATGTGACTTACTGAAAGCTCATTTCTTACTACTTGGTCGCGGACGAAGTGGAAATCAATGGCCACATGCTTCATTCGACTGTGAAAGACTAGATTTCGACTTAAATAGGTAGCAACAATATTGTCACAGAGTACCTTCGGAGGGCTGGACATGGAAACATGCAATTCTTTCAGTAAGTTTGTAATCTAATTAAGCTCAGCTACAACAAAAGCAACAACCCTATATTCTACTTCAGTAGACGATCTAGCAATTGTGCGTTACTTTTTGGAGCACCAACATATTAGATTATTGACAAGAAGTATAATATAGGCAAAAGTTGAGTGCTTGGTGTCTGGTATACCACCCCAATTAGCATCTGAGTAAGCTAGCAACTTGAAAGAAGTGGCAGGCATAAAGTGAAGACCATAAGTAATGGTACCCTTCAAGTAGCATAGAAGTCTCTTGGCCGCTTGCCAATGTTTCAGGCTTGGTCGATGCTAAAACTGAGCAAGTTTGTTCAGTGCAAAACATATATCTAGACGAGTGAATGTTAGATATTGTAAGGAACCAATAATCTACCTGTATAATTTGGTATGTGCAGATGATGATCCATCATCAAGTGAAAGAGGTTCATTGGTTGACATCAGAGTGCTAACACTGTTCGCATCGATCATCCCGAATCTTTCTAGAAGATCAGCGATGAAGCTACTTTGGGTGAGAGCCAAACCATGAGCATGCTGCAAGACTTCAACACCAAGGAAAAAATGTAAAGAACCAAGATCTTTGATGGAAAACCTGTCACCTAGTAGTTTGATGGTACTTTGGACATGGGTAGAGTTAGAACCAGTGACGACGATATCATCGATACAGACCATCACAAAGAGTAATGAGGTGGTAGTACATTTCAGGAATAAAGAGTCATCAGATTTAGTCCTTTAAAAACCAAATGACAGAAGGTATTGTTTGAGCTCGTTGTACCATGCCCTAGGTGCTTGACGAAGGCCATATATTGACTTATGAAGCTTGCACACATGTTGTGGAAATTTAGGATCCCTAAAAATGGGTTGTTGATTCCTGTATATAACTTCATGAAGTGTACCTTGTAAGAAGGCATTGTTCACATCTAATTATCACAAGGGCCACTTAAACGACACCACAAGTGCAAGGATTAAACGTATTGTAGTATGTTCGATCACAAGACTAAAAGTGGAATAAAAGTCTACCCCAGGTCGTTGATGAAAACCCTTTGCAACTAATCTCGCTTTGTAGCAATCCACAGACCCATCAGGTTTATGCTTGACACGATAAACCCACTTGCAACCAACTACATTTTGAGATAGAGATGGGGGAATCAAAGTCCAGGTGAAATTTCTCATAAGGGCAGTAAATTCATCCTTCATGGCTGTTTTCCATTCAGGATATTTGTTTGCTTGGGAAAAAATTGTCGGAGCAAGAGGAAGCAGTTTGGTGGAAGAGATAGTAAGATAGTCAAAGATAACTTTTGGTTTGAAGATATTATTCTGGGATCTCGTGACCATAAAGTGAGTAGGAGCAGGTGGCAAAGGTTGTAGTGGAGGCAAAGGATAATGTGCAATAGGAGACATAGTGTTGGGCATGCTTGTAGTAGAGGGTGAGGGTGAATTAGCTGAGGTACTTACAGCAGTACTTGGTGACACATCCTCTGTAGTAATTGGAGTTGCAGGATCTCTTGAGTAGTCCTTGGGACAACCAGGTCGATGGCTTGAGGTATAGGAGGTGGAATGAATGATTCATTGGTAAAAGGTAGGGAAATTGAGGAGGAGGAAGCTACTGGACAGTGCCAAGACTCCAAGTTGGAGGTTGAAGCGCGATCAAGGGAAGGGAAGTTCAACTTGAATGGAAAAACATGTTCGACAAAGATAACATGTCGGGAGAGTAAAATTTTTGAGGTCGAGAGATCTAGGCAAGCAAAACTATTAGTGACAGAGGAGTACCCCATAAAGACACAAGATTTTGATTTTATGTCAAGTTTGGAGCTAGAGTAAGGTTTAAGCCAAGGATAGCAAAGGCAACCAAAAATCCGGAGCTTATGATGATTAGGTGTGGTATTGAACAAACACTGAAATGGTGATTTTAAGTTGAGCAAAGGTGTTGGTAGTCGATTAATAAGGAATACTGCAGTTTGGAATGCAATGGACCAAAATTTGGGTAGTACCAAGACATGATGAAGTAAGGTCAGGACAGTGTTAATGACATGTCTATATTTTCTTTCAGCAGTTCCAACTATTTGAGGAGTATATGGAGGACTCATGAGATGCTGAATGCCCATTTCTAGTAAGAGAGATTTAAGACCAATATATTCACCTTCTCCATCTGTGTATAGTGTCTTGATGGATGCACTAAACTGATTATGAATCATTCGAGTGAAGTTAATAAAAATACTTTTAACATCTGATTTATGTTTGAGCGGAAATAACCAGGTATACTTAGTATAGTGATCAACAAACATAACATAGAATCGAAAGTTGTCAAAGGAGGGAATTGGAGATGGACCCCAAACATCTGAATAAATAACATCAAATGGCTTAGAACTAGAAATAGAATTGTCGCCGAATGGTAAACGATGACTTTTATTACATAGACATGAATTGCAAAAGGTAAAAGGAGCATTAATTGACACTGAAAGCTTGAATGAGGACACATATGCTTTAGTGATACGAGGTTGAGGGTGGCCAAGACGGGCATGCCAAAGGTGCAGGGACGGTGATGCTTGAGTAGCAAAGTTGGCTTGTAGAGAAGGGGGTGAGACACTGGTTGGCGGCCATTCGTAGAGATCACCTTTACTCCGACCTTGCAAAAGACATGCCCCCGTGCTCAAATCCTTCACAAGAAAAGAATAAGGAAAATATTCAATGGATGTTAGATTTTGACGACAAAATTAAGCAACAAAGATTAGTTTTTTCTTTATATATGAGGAACAAAGAACATTCTGTAACTTAAAAGAATTATGAGATGAAGAAAGTTTAGTGTGACCAATATGAGTAATCGAAATGGTTTTACCATCTCCAATAATTATTTCATCAGTGCCAGGGAATTCTGTTGTGGCTTGTAGAGATTGTGAATGATATGGTGTGATGCTCTAGAGTCAACAATCCAATTATTTGCGGGATTAGATGCATAGGACATGCGGTTAGTGAAGTTGGCTTGAGCCTCAAGTGCACTATATGATTTTGAGCGACAGACTTTAGCGATGTGCCCAAATTTGTCACATAATTGGCATTAGACTCTCTGCTGGTTGCTACGGTTGTTGGGGTGGAAAGAGTTGGAATTCTGGAAGGAGTTGGTGTGTTGGTTGGTTGATGTGTTTTGCATGGGCCCCTTGCTGTTGTTGCTTGGATTAGAGTTCCTGGATTTTGAGTGTGGGTTGATTGATTTTTGATGAAACTGAGAAGTGATGATTGGGTTTTCAAGCTTTGGCTCCGAGTGTTTAATAAATATCTCATGCGCAAGCAATTTGTCATAGAGCTCTTCAAACGATATTGGGTTATCTCGAGTCCTTATAGCAGCATATAGTTCTTTGTACTCAGATCCTAGACCACTTAGCATTTTGATGAAAAGTTCCTCATTTGAGAGAGGTGAGCCACTGGATGCAAAAACATTCGAAATGGATTTAATATCCTTCATGTACTCACTAATGGAGCGTGAATCTCGTTTGAGATTAGCAAGAGTGTCACGCAGGCTGAAGATAAGTGACCGGGATTTGTTGGCATAAGTAGTTTGAAGCGATTGTAGAATCGACTGAGGCAATGATAGCATTGCGGACAAGGCTATCCTGTCTCTGCCAAAGCTTGAATGCGGGGTTAGAAAATTTATTGTTTGCTCCATCTTGGATATGCACAGATGGAAAGGGAAGTGACCCATCCACATATCCAAGAAGATCATAACCAAAGAGAAGAGTTATGACTTGTGATTTCCAATTGAGTAGTTGGAGCTCCCTTGCAATTTCAAGGAGAGTTGGGATGCTGGATTGAATGAAATTAATTGGGATGGCTGAGCAATGTTCCCATGACTGATTGTGACGGTGGGGAAAGTAGACGAGGTGGCTGAAGAATGAGTCTGTGAATCACCCATTCTGGGAAAATAAGGGAGTAACTCGTGTGAGTTTTTAGAAGGCTCTTGATACCATAAAGAATCTTAATACCTGTAGGAAAACGGATTGTTTCTATTGCCTCAACCATATACAATTTATATAGTAAATTCAGAAGGGTTCAATCTAAATAGATAAGTACAACAGAGATATTCACAAGAGTTTGAGTGTGACTATAACTAGGACTCTAGCTAGTATAACTTGAGGTAAATGGATTACATTGATGAGAAAGATATGTTAGGATTTGGATTATCCTTATCACTTAGCACTGAACTCATCGCACCTTTGAAATTAATGATTCAAATTTAATATTTGGTGAAATTTTAATAGTTTTTTTACCATATATATTTAAACTCTGTACCAAAAACACTGGATTTGGTCGTGACAAAGCTAGACTGCATTCGTCACTGTGATAGAAGAATCCTCAAGAGAAAATTAAACCATTTAATTTGATACTACCAAAATATATATAAAATAGAGAGGAATTAAAGATATATGAGATAACCATATTACTGATATTTAATCCGAATTGAGCATAATGCGGCCCAAAAGTATTCTTCAATCATTTTTTTTCTTTTTAAGTAAAAAATGTAAGTAAATTATAAAGAACTCTTGCTAAAAAAAAAAAACTACTCAATCGTTGTACTGAGTTTCAGTGAAAGAAAGAGCTACAATTTGGGTAATTAATAAAAGTGGCCAGAAGCTTTAGCTACGGCAGGAATGGCGCAGGAAACATCAGATATAGGCAACAAACAGTTAGCCAGAAGAGTACTACTTGTTGCTGCTGTAAAATAGCTTTCCCAGTAATGGGGCGGTGGTATATTATTCACTATCTCCAAATCTATCTCAAAAAACTCCTCCTCCTCCTCTTCTTCATCTACTGCTGCCATATTATGAACAAGAATTTTGCTTTCTTCTTTGAGTTCTTGACTGTTATCATTGGCGGCTAGAGCCATGTTTTGTCTTTGGGCATTCCGTTGTGGCCATGACAATATATAGTATTTATATATGGGTGTGTGGAATACTGGAATTGGGTTTAATTTGTAAGGTTGGTGGAAGGTGGATTAATTAGTAGAACGCTCTTCAACAAATCTTCAACTATCTTAGAAGTTTAGATATTGGTAGTTATCTCTTAATTCATCTTAATTAGCTACTGTTTTTAGCATCTCCTACAAGTTAACGAAGCACCATATTTAATTATTATTCAACGTACAAATATTTTATTTATCAAAGAAACAAATGGTGCTACTAAGAGTACTATTTAGTCATCACCATTGCGTAATGTATGATCTGTCCATGAAATATTTATGGATTTAATTTTTATATAGTTATATTTGTTGGGATATATACTATTAACTATGAGTTTGGTTTGGATATAGTATTTATTAGTGAATAATTATTTATTCAATTTTAATAAAGTTTTAAATAGATCATATATTAGACTGTATCCTTTGCTTATATAATAGATAGTTTAATGTATAGAGTTTAGCTTATACACAGAAGATTAAATTATCGATTCTTATAAGTATAAAGTTTGAGTTCACAATCTAATGATGAAATTGGACAAACCATCACGAATGATTGTAGTACAAGATTAAATATAATTTATCTTAATTATGAGAATGGTTTAATATTTTATACTGACTTAATAAAATAAATTCTTTACCCATTAAATGAACTTATACTGTTAATCTTGATATAATTATTATTAGCCATGTATATTATTATTGTTTCGATTTATTAAAAGGCAAGATTCTTTCGTGGGGCAATATACCTGATAAATTGGATAATAATGATGCACATTGGCAAAATAATAGTTAATTGATGGAATCCATGTCTCGGTCTAGAGATTGATGATATATCTTTATGAAATCTTATAAGTTTTCATGTGTAAACCTGACCGGCGAATTTTATATCCGATATATGAAATAAGTTAAGCGAAAGTCTAAAAGAAATAATCAATAAATTAAATTATTAGTAATTTAATTTAATTGATCAGTATCTGAATCTTAACATTGGGAGTTACATAAGATTTTTAATGGATGAATTTTAAAATTGAATAAGGAGTGCAATTTTACTGGAATAATTCGTAATTAATTATGGTGAATATTAATTTCGAAAATTATAAATTAATTCTATAATTTGAAGATTTGTTAATTAAATTCTGTAGTCCATGCTATGCATAAATAATAGGAAATAAAAGAATCCTTTTCCTGGTGGGAAAAGAAAACCCAACGGGTTTTGAAAAATAGTTTTAACCCTTAAAACTTGTGCTATAAATACATAAGGTTTTTCACCTAGAAGAAGAAGAAAAAGGTGGCCGAAAATTTTATCCTTTTTTCTAGAAAATTTCGCCCACACGAAATTACTATTTTAGGATATTATTTGGGTAACAGAGTAGAAGACCGTTGAACGTTCGGAGATCGTGATCGTGCAGAGGATGGAGATTCTATTGAGACGATGTGGAACTGAAGGCTCATGTGACAAAAGAGCTATCTTCACGCTTCGAGAGGTAACTCGTAAAACTCTGTATATGCTAGTTGTTTAGATTACATGTGATTTTGATACTGGAATTACTTCCGCTGCTTATAATAATCCATCAATTAATATCAGAGCCTACTCACATCTAATTAGATAATTATGTTTTTCATAAAATAGAAATTTCGTGTTTATGTGCGTTTTTGAATTACATGTATATGTTGCTTTCTGAAAAAATTGCACTACTGTTTTGTGAATTAACTGTGCCAAAATTTTTAGATTATTCTTGTAATCATGAGATATCAGTTTTTATTGATATTTGATTGGGATGATCTGGATTTTTTTTGGTAGACCCTAGAAAAATGCAAAACCCATTTTGACCGAATTGTTTGTGTTTTCGGAGGTCAATGAACTGGACGGATTCCGATTGAGCCGAAATTTAGTAGGTCCATTAGACGTGGTGAGAAAAACTCACTGCTATGCAATGAATCATGTTATTTTTCGGCGTTTTGAGGTAGTTTGGATTGTGTTTTGGATGATTTTCTATTTTCTGGAAATTATTTCTTAATAATTTTGATTCATTTTTAATTCAATGGTGGTGGGAGTGATTCCCCATGGTCTCCATGACTAAATTAGAGTGATATAATGTGTGTAACGATCTGACTGGTCGTTTTATTTTATAGATCCTCGTTTCCCTAATTAAGACTCCACGTATATGCTTTTACTGTTTTATGACCTACGGGGATGGTTGGTTTAGGTTTGGAAGGGTTCGGGTTGAAATCGTAACACTTAGTTCCTTAATAGTAGCCTCTAATGGTTAAGTTTGACTTAAGTCAATAGTTTGAGTAAACGACCTCAGAACCGGAATTTGACGGTCCCAATAGGTTTGTATGATGATTTTGGACTTGGGCGTGTGTTCAGATCAGGTTTCGGATTACCCGTGAGCGTTTCAGCGCTTAATATTGAAAGTTGGTGCATTGAAGGTTTTTCCAAGTTCTTTGAGTTTGGTTTGGAGTAGACTTTGGTGTTATCGAGGTTCATTTGGGATTCCGAGCCTTAGAGTAGTTTCATATGGTGATTTATGACTTGTACGCAAAATTTGGCGTCATTCCGAGTTGATTTGATAGAAATCAGACGCGCAAAAATGTTTATAGAAGCTTTTGAGTTTCATGATTTAATTCGTGTATTTTGGCATCTGATTCACGATTCTAGATGTTATTTCGGTATTTTGATCATGCGAGCGAGTTCGTATGATATTTTTTTATAGTTGTGTGGATGTTTGATGTGGAACCCCGACGGTTCGGGGTGTGTTTCGGACGCGTTCGGAGGGGTGGAAGGACTTCAGTTTTCTAGGATTTTTTTTGGTGCCTCTGTTATCGCAAATGTGAAGTTTTGTTCACATTTCCGAGGAACCTTTCGCATTTGCGAAATTGGGAAGGCACTGAGGATTTCGCATTTGCGAAGATCTTGCCGCTTTTGCGAACCTGCCCCTCTTCGCATTTGCGATCATGACAGAGATGGCCAGCCTTTGCATTTGCGAACAAGATGTTGCAAATGCGACACCTGCGAATGGTGCAAGAGCTTTTTATTGCGGTACCTAGCTTTATTTCTCTCATTTTCCACTTGGTCTTAGGCGATTTTAAGAGCATTTTTATAGAGGGATTTCATCAACATCAAAAGGTAAGTGATCCCTATCAATTCTTTAGCTAAATACGCGAATCATAGGTATATTTAATATGGAAAAATTGTGAAATTAATGGGATTTTGAGAAGAACCTAGAGTTTTGGTAAAAATGAGATTTGACCCCGAAATTGGTTATGGAATTAAGTAAAAATTATATATTTGCGTTCGTGAGGCTATGTGTGATATTTATCTTCGAAGATTTCCGGAATCTGAGCACATGGGCATGAGGGAGAATTTTAAGAATCTTCCAATTTTAGATTGGGTAATTACTCTAATAGCTAAATTATGAACTTTTGAGTATATATTGATTAAATTATACAATATTTGACTAGTTTCGGGTTGTTCAGCATCGACTTGGGGCTTTTAGAGCGGATTAGTGGACCGCAAGTGAGCTTGGAAATGAGGTAAGTCTCTTGTCTAACCTTGTAAGAGGGAAATCATCCCCTTAGGTGTATCTTTGTTATGTATTACCTGTGTGAGGAGTTACATACGCACGAGGTGACGAGAGTCCGTGCACAAGTATATTCCATGATATGTCCGGGTAGTCTTAGATCCACATCATGCTTTTAATTATACT